ATATAAAATAATTGCAAGCAAAAAACCGATATAAATGATAATCACTTTTCATATATCATTTTTTTTTTTTTTATTATTAACTACTCGCAGACGAGAATCGCCTAACACAACCTTTAAAGAACAGGAAAGAAACCTGACAGGGGTTATCCATGGACGTGTACACCGAGCTATGTGCTGTCTCTCGAGGCGGTAACGGCAGACTTAACGGTATCCCATTCCAGCCCAATATTTACATTCTTTTCGCTGGTAAATGCGGTATATTGTATCTACGTAGTGCAATTCGGCAATGCGGAGTTTATAAAATCGATGCTGCACGAATGGATTGACATCGCGAGAGAAAGTGACATCACCTCAAAAGAGCATGACTGGTTTTATAGCAGCTAGTAATCGCGATATAATGAGAGCGCACGCGATTCCAAAGCTATGTTTATAAAAAGCTATTAGTTTATTAAATATTAATTATGTGAAATAATTTATAAATAGATACTAGTTTATGAATGTGTTAATAATATGAAAGAATTCTCATTTTATACAAGAATGCTCGAACGTATGTGATATAATCGATAAATGTTCAAACTGCATTTTGGAGCATTAAAAACTTTTTTGGGATTTTATTAATACTTTTCAAGCTTCGAATATTATGATTAATCGAATTGTCCTATGTTTTCAATAATATGGTTTTGTATTAAATTCTTATTTTTGATCAAAATTCTAATTTCGGCTTTTCTTTTCGGAAAATTGCCTTATGTAGATGAATTTCTTATAGATCTGGGAAATGCGGCAATTTTCTGGAAAGGTGGACTCCAGTCTCATTTCTGTTCTACTGTATAGGCAATTCCGTGACACTTTCACGGTTAATGCGGTTGGGCGAAAGTCAGGGAGTGACGAAACTCTATGCCGGATACGCATCGCAGTGTCGTTGCTCCTGCGCGTGTGTTAGCGATGACGTTAGTGGCTTCATGCAAATATCTTTCCTTGCGCAAACGGGAAGCCCGATATAGCGACGGCGAAACTCATGAAAGCTACCCGAGTGACGCGTTAATCGATGACTCTTTCATGACACCTGGACGAAATGCTTACAGCATCGATTTTCGTAGAATATAAAATCTAATATAAATGTGTGCATGAATATTTTCTCTCAATTAAAACTCTATATCTCTATTAATATCTCAATAAAAATCAATAATGATAAGGACTTGATATTTTAGCACTTTCACAGAGTATATTAGTTTATATATAAATCGTTGTTAATTACATTGACGTGGAATAAATTGTAATCAATCATTAATATGTACACAAATATAGACAAAATCTATGATAATATTACTACAAAATATATTATAGATGCTAATAGGTGAAAATGTTTGAAGCGCAATAACGATCGTATAATTTTAATGGCTCACAGATGGGAACGGATCTTGAAACGCGTGCAAAATTAAATCCATAAAATTTGCACGAATTTTCAACGAGCGCAATGACTGGATATTTTTCATAGATATGAAAATATCTATTTTTTGTACAAACTTTTGCATCTTATTATTAATATAATTTGTTGAAATATGAAGAATATATTTTATGTATAGTTCAATATATAACAAAGAAAACAATAATTGCATCTCTATCAATATATTTTAAAACTTAAAATAATTTAGATATTGAACACTCACATCTCGTGCAGACAGACTACATATTAGAATTAAGAAGGTATTTGCTTTGTTTTGTTCGTTTTAAAAACAAGTGACAAATATATAAATAAGAAAAATATAGGTTACTCTTATTGAATTACTTATTCGATTTTTTTTATGCGGGTCTTTAAAACACTATTGCCAAATCGTATGTACGTGTGTCGTAACCTTTGCCAGTTTTTTAATTTGAAACGATAAACTCTTCGAGTACTTAAACGTAAGTGCGTGTCATGCTCGCAGCTTTCTCCTGACAATAGCCCGATGTGTTTATAATAATATACTTGTAAAACAAATTATTTATAATCATATATAATATATATTATAATTATTTAATATAATTATATTATTTAATATAATTATTTAATTATATATAATATATATATTATATATGTATAAATATATATATTGTAATAGCATGCATGCTTATCTTTTCAGATAGCATATGTTTCTGCAAAACCGGATGTGTATTTTTATTTACGCTCTTTTTTACACAGCAAGTTCAGATAAATTTTTCACAAAGTTTCAATAATATTATATATTTATTATATTTTATAAAGGATTATTGTAATTATTCAAATATTTCGATGCATAAACAAATACATAATCATTAACAATCGATAAAACAAATGCATAATTTACAATTTTTATAGTAAATATCTCAATATTATTATATTTCAGCTTTTTTATAATAAATCTTGTTAAAAAAATGTATTTTTTATTTGTATTGTAAAATTTTCTCCGTGTCGATATAGCGTTTTTGTGAATCTACTGAAATTTTCGGAGGAAGTCAAGATACCGGTTTTTCGAGTATGCTGACATGTCGCTGATTTAAAAACCTATCAGACAGCTTCAAGATACTTGCATTTTTCCGTAAATTACGTTAATTATCTCGTGATTAAATTGCGACGCCGACACACGAGAATATCTTAAACTCGGCATTAATATCACCGCGACGATATCACGCTGCGATCATTGACATCTCCATTGAATCTCTTTTAATGTTCATTTATTTTTCATAAATTATATCCTTACATTGCAATACTACGCAGGGTAAACTTGACCTTTTGCAACATATTAATAATTAAAAAAATATAATTTATTTTAATTAAATATGTTTGTAATTGTATTTTATTATTTTTGTATATTTACAATTGAAGCAATTATATAGTTATGATTAAAGATATGTTTTATTAAACGTAACTTTGCTATTCCGTACATTTCTATCATTAATAGAATCATAACTTTAAAAAAAAAATATGAAAATTTGTATTAAATTAAATACAAAAAATTAGATATATTTAATTTTACAAGTTAAATTTTCTCTCTTTTTATATAAATTTTAATTTATTTTAAATATCCATCAAGATAAGCATACAACATGAATACTTTACATCTAATCATTTTATCCCCACTCTCTTGTGATGGCTCACTACCCTATCCCAACCTTTCTCGAACTTACCAGATAGTGCAAGGATTGTCAAGGTCATGAGGACCCTGGACGTCGAGCTTGCCATGATCATCGACTGCTCTTGCAACCCCCGCAAGCAAGATCAAGGATACGAATGTCAAGGCGCGATATTGCGTGAAGTTTTCCTTCAGGATTCCGTACACCCGGAGGGGTCGTCGTTGACTTGAAGCGAGCCGTAATGCCTACCGATGTCCGCCATTTTGGATCACAAGCCTACAGCGAGCTGCTGGACATCAGGAGAGCTGGACTTCACGGGCATAGCACGCGGTGCGCCATTCTTTCTTTTCTCTCTTTTTTTTCTTTCTCTCTCTCCCTTTCTTCTTCTCCTCTCTCTGTCTTATCCTTCCACTTGTTCTTTTTTTTCTCTTACTCAGTCTCGCACTCTCGCACACGGTTGACCTACTTGGCAACGGATCACACCGGTGTACACGTCAGGTTTTCGGCCAATACGCGCCGCACCGGACTTTAACTGAATATCTAAAGAATCTTAAGCTTGTCTCACGTGGTTGGTCACTTTATTTTTTTGTCGCATAAAAACTCGTTTTATTTAATTTTATTTTGAATATTTTTGAATTATCGTATTTTAAATGATTCTGCTCTTGCTTTTTATTATTTATCGGCACTTTTTTCTCAGGTAATTTTTATCTGATTTAAAAAAAAATTGATTATATCATTAAGTTTTAGTGTCTCAATATTGATGATTAAAGATAAATTAACATATATTTTTCAAAATAATTCACCAATATTGGCATCAAACAATCTTTAAGAAAAGAATAATTAATTGTCCACTTGCACGGTGCAGCGGCATAAAAATTTAAATTTGATTTTTCAGATAAAAATGCAAATATTGGAAAGCATAAAACATCATAATAATAATAAGTTTATAAATCAATCTTCACACTTTTGAAGGCAATAATTAATTGTTTGCTTTAGATAATCCATTCCACACATAAAATAACATGAACCATTCAAGTGATTAATTACTGTTCAATAGCAATAAATGCTATCGCATTGCACATGTGATACACTTCAGTACAACATTTTCGCTCTCGATTCACACTGTAGAAACGCACATTGTCGAGCAAAGTTCACGAGGAGACAGTCTCAGTGAATTTCTTCTCGAGAGAAATAAATCCAACAATCTCAAAAAAAAACTCAATCGCGGTTTCTTCTGTCAAAATCCGGCGACCGCAGAAGAGCCCACAAGAAGATCATTCGCTTTCCTCAGCAATCAACGTCGCCGTCTTGTCCCGAGGACTACGGAATCCCAGTGCGCGAAAAAGAGGAACTTGAAGCATGCACCATCCGAGGTTCACTTTACGGTCGTTCACACGGCACTGGCTGAGGCTGAAGACGGTCATACACACACGTCTCTCCCACTTTAGCTATGCCATAGCTACACCATGGTGCACTGTACACTACTGCCGAGCATGTACGTCACGTCTTGATGGTTGCCTTCCACCATGCTCGGCTATCTCTCTCCACCATTCGTGCTCTACAGAATAATCCTTCCCCACTCCTATGAATTTTTCTCTCTTTCTCCTGGCATATTCTGTGGCGAACCATGTATATACCCTGCGCGACTGAATACTATACAGGTTTCGTTCATATAGTCCGTGTCTCATCAGTTTTCTAAATCGAGGCAGGTAAGCTTTCGGCGACGACAGAGAAAAAGAAACAAAGAATCAAGTTGAAACTGAACTTTCAACTTCGAAAGTGCTCTTGGCATTTCAAAATAATTTTTTTTTAATATTGACAGATATTTTTATATAATCTCTCTCTTTAAGTCGTATATATACAAGAAATCAGAACCTTATCGTAAGATTGCGGCTTCAATGTTTTTCGACGGAAATCAGGATATCAACTAAAACATTCTCCGATTTTTGACAAAATAAATCGTAACTTGTTCAGAAAATTAAGATAAGTGTCTCATAATAGAAGAAAAATAAAATAAATATTATAAAAAGTTTATGAGGCATATTTGAATAATCATTTTAAATAAGATCATAAGAGATAAACTATACTTTATTACTCGTTAAATTAATATTTAGCACTAAACAATTTTGCCTAATTTCTCTTTCGTTTTCCGTGACTTCATTTAACATGCAAATCATCATTAGAATAACGCTGCGATAAATCGGATAATTATTACATAATGAATATCTTGTTTAACAAAACATTAAAAATATAACTTGATAATGCATATAATGCAGACTTATTTTTCAACAAAATAGATAGATTGTACAGGAGATAACAATTGATGACATCGAGATTGTATTATCTTTTTCGCAATATAATTAAAATAATAAAAATAAAGTAGAATTATTTAAAATTGCCAATCATTTTTGTCGCGCACTATTTTAATCTTGCAACTGTCAACACTGAATCATTCTTCTCATCGTACAGATTTTTAATTACTGTAATTAAAAATTGCTAGGTGCTTTGAATGCAACCTGCTGCTACATTGTTCCATGCTACATTGCATGCTTTAAAGTTGGTCATTTCATTGACGTCTGTAATTGTCGAGAAAATGGAGTAAACGTGATGTCGCATGTGACATTTGATAATTTACTCTGATATACAGGCAGTCAATTATACAATCAACAATAATTATTGTACAATTTTACAGTTTCTCCGTTAATATTATGACATTTAATAATATTGTTCAACATGTACGTTAAATTATATTAACAATAATTATCATACGATGTTAAATTTCTGTATACGTTATTTGTTTTTGTTTATCTCTAAGAAATATCGTTAAGTATTGAAAAAATTACGCGGTTTTATAAATGTAAAGATTAGCTATGATTTACTGTGATTTAAATGTATGCTTTTAAAAAGGCTAGTAAAATTTTACTTGACATTTAACTGGATAATTAAGTAAACTGTTTTACGTAAAGTCGCACAACATGTGCAGTTAACGGGACTTCTTAGTGGCATCATGAGCATGACAATCTCATGCTTGCACTAAATTGTCACTAGCGTTTGTTCTTTCCTCTAATGTAATAGGAAAACTAAAAAATAAAATCCTGAATAAGTCCTTGCATTTTTCTTTGACTTTATTAAAATAATTCTACCACGATATAAACTAAATAATAATGCAACATTATACGATTTAAAATCTTATAAGTTAACTTTCAATAAAACTTAAGAAACGAATAAGTAATAGATAAAAGAATATATGACTTATTGAATCTCAGAAAAGATCTTGACGAAATTATGCTGCACTATTTCTACGAATAATAATAAGAATATAATACATTTAACAATTACCGTGAAATTAATATAACAGTTATAATTAATATTTTGGTCAGTACATTTGTACAGTTCATCTCTTTTAATTTTTTCATTGTATAAGATCTAGCAAAGGCGTGCGTCTCTTTCCTTCTTTTTCTCTCTCTTCGTGTTTTGCTATATTAATGAATATAACATAACTGAAAGAATTGGTCAGTGCGGTCTAACTGAATCTCGGAACCGTATTGTGCACGCACAAACATATCTTTCTGTATTCAGAAAACGCAAGATGTACCGATGCCTTACTATTTTTTCCATTATTATGATAAATTGCGTGTTCATGTCCATTACTACGTTTTTTTACGCTTTAGAACAAATATCCATATTTCATTCGTATATGATTATTGTCATGCGATAAGCTAGAATCACGTTTATATATACACATACACACAAAATTTAATAAAACTTTAAATTTTAACTAATAAATGCATAATTACTTAAATAATTATTTACAGCATGTCTACAGTTAAAACTGTTTTAACATAAACGATTATTAAGTCAAAATATAATGCATGCTTTTCTGCATTTATTATTTAAATTTTGAATTTAATTTATCTCCAGAAAACATTAAATTTCAATATGCTCAAATATTTCAAACGGTTATTATCTGGCAATGCGGTAACTCGAAATAAACAGGAAGTGAAAAATAAAAGATAGATGATGCTACTCGAAATAAACAGGAAGTGAAAAATAAAAGATAGATGATGCTACTCGAAATAAACAGGAAGTGAAAAATAAAAGATAGATGATGCTACTCGAAATAAACAGGAAGTGAAAAATAAAAGATAGATGATGCTACTCAAAAATATAGATAAATCAGAGCGAGATCTTTTTTGTGAAATTTTTAAGATGCCATATTAGCAGCTGTAAGGAATCTCGTAAAAATGATTGAGGAATGCATCGGCGGATTCCTCGTAAGATTATAACCTGATGATTCTCAACCTTGTCCTTGATTCTTGCCAGTCATTTCGTAACAAGTATCGTTCCTTTTATCTATATTTTCGTTATAATTAGATCGAAAATATTTCTCGAGTTTTGAACATATATCAAATATATATTTCATATATATGTAATATATTTTAAACAATTTTTATTTTTATTATGATAAAAATTTTTAATGCCATTTAATAGTTTGCATAATTATATTATATTCTTAATTATTTAAAAAATGAATTTTAATTATTTTAGGGGGGAAGAATGTGTATGTGTGGAATTACTGGGGAATATTACTTTCATATGCAGAATTAGCTAGCCTACTTTCCTAATTCGTTACTAATTTGTGAAAGCTTGACAGCTGTAAGACGTGCGCGCCACGTATGTACATACATACAATACGTCATCTCATGCTTTCTGATAATTCTGCAACATTCACTGGCAGACGATATGGATGCATATATATTGCTATGCAGTTGCATTTCTTTTTCTTTTCCTCTCTCAATGCAGCAAAAATGTAATGCAATCTTTCAAAAAATGTAAATAATAGATTTTACATAAAAAAGATTATACTGCAATAATTATATAGCACAAAATCCGTAATGCGATTAAACAGGTATACGGGATCAAGTTTTAAATGATTTAAAAATATTTATTTTTACAACAGCAGGAAAATATTTTTTCTCCATCAGTAATCAGGATTCATTTATCGATTGATCTCACGTATCGGCACACCCGTTTGCTATATGAGCTACTATACGACCTTTAGTAGAATCGTCCGCATTGCAACACACGGCGCATGAAGAATTAAAACTGCATTTCTACGTAACGGGTAGCCCCCTAATAGCCAAGTATGCATGAAATTATACTCGGTCAGTAACTGACTCTCATCCGGAAAGGAAAGATAAAATAAGAGAGAATTATCTTTTTGCATAAGTTAGGAGTAGAGAATTTTGCTAATACTTATTAAATATTTATTCATGTTGTTATATTTAAATTATTCTTATTTGTTATTATATTCGTATATTATTATTGTTAAAAGCCATATATTTACATATACTATTCTATTTAATTTCATGAAATATATGACAGTCTTTTCAGACTTATGTGACGTATATATATAATCTCTCTTACAATTTAATTATTTTTAGTTATATATAATAATTAATATCTATTAATATAGTTATTAATAGTGTAGTCTATTAATTTAGTTATGTACAATAATTATTAATATCTATTAACATTTTATGCACATAACATACACGTGCACTATAATTAAGTAATAAATATATCAGTTAATCATAGCGCGCACAAAACTTATTTTAATACAATCTAAGTTCAAATATCT